GATTTGCTTGATGGATTTGCTTGATGGATTTGCTGGATGGATTTGCTGGATGGATTTGCTGGATTGATTTGCTTGATTGATTTGCTTGATTGATTTGCTTGATTGATTTGCTTGATGGATTTGCTTGATGGATTTGCTTGATGGATTTGCTTGATGGATTTGCTTGATGGATTTGCTTGATGGATTTGCTGGATTGATTTGCTTGATGGATTTGGATTTTTTGTTATTGGCGGATTTGTATATTTTTTTAGTTGGTGTTGGGATTTTTTTATTATTTTTTTGAATTGGATTTTTGTTGTTGGTGGATTTGTAAGTTTGGGATTTTTTTTGTTGCGCATTTGTCACTTTTTTTTTTGCCATTAACTTAGGAAGTTTAGGCTTAGCATTGCATGCAACTTCAATACACAAAAACCCTTCCTAGTTTGTCCAAATTCAATAGTACCGATTTCGACTTTCTATTTGCCTCATACGTCAATATATGTACTATGTGATCTGCTGTGAATATATATACCTATCAACGGTATAGGTTAAGTAATAATTGTAATTAAGAAGCAATAAGATGCTTATCTTAACATACTAAGAAGGTTAGGTAAGGTCGGTGTTTTCTATGAAGCTTTTCAAGGTAAACTAAAATATTCACAATCAATTAGTATGTCACATACGCACTTATTAAATAAGCCAATATTGACTATAAGCAAGTGCGAGAACGGGTTGAGTACTACCTAAACAGGAGGATGGGTTGCCCACTCACCCTTTCTAGGGGGGGGGGGGAGGGAGGGAGAGAGAGAGAGAGAGAGAGAGAGAGAGAGAGAGAGAGAGAGAGAGAGAGAGAGAGAGAGAGAGAGAGAGAGAGAGAGAGAGAGAGAGAGAGAGATCCCTGGCCCCATTAGGTATCTAATTTGAAAAGAGAGAGAAATCTATGCTTTTTCAAATATCAAATACCATTTCAAACTTGTAAAAGCATCATCATGCAAAGTGGACACTGTCTTACACTTTGATTCCCTTAGCAAAATGGATTCCCTTAGCAAAATAAATCCCCTTTGACGCTATCAAAGCGGACTCGTGTCCGTTATTGTTATCTTTCAATAAAGATAACACACGAGGCTACACAGATAACTTGAAGCTACACTTTGAAACAAAGTGAGAGTTATCAAAAGTGGGAAAAGTAGTGAAGCAGCAATACTGTAGAGTGCTCTTGCGTTGGAGTCCCCCTCTTGAGTGAGCCGTCTCTCGCTACGCGTTTAATAGCTTGTCTGGGTTAAGTGTTTGAGCTGAACTGTTTGGGCTTTTTCTGCCGACGAGTTTTAATCGTGTTCTTAATTGGTAACCAGTGCTCGATGTGGTGGGTCTTGCGTTCGCTGGGCTGAGCGTTCGCTGGGCTGAGCGTTCGCTGGGCTGAGCGTTCGCTGGGCTGAGCGTTCGCTGGGCTGAGCGTTCGCTGGGCTGAGCGTTCGCTGGGCCGAGCGTTCGCTGGGCCGAGTGTTCGCTGGGCCGAGTGTTCGCTGGGCCGAGTGTTCGCTGGGCCGAGTGTTCGCTGGGCCGAGTGCTCAATAGGTAATTAAAACTACCCACTTTTCGTGGGGTAGTTTTAACTGGTGATTGACAGACTGCAATACTAACAGCTCAATTATTCTATCATTTAGATATTTTAAAAATTTAGCTCTTCAAATGTCGCAATATTTTGAGAGGTGTTCACTTAAAATATATGCACATACTCAAGTCCATCTCCACATACGCAGATACTCAAGTCCATCTCCACATACGCAGATACTCAAGTCCATCTCCACATACGCAGATACTCAAGTCCATCTCCACATATGCACATACTCAAGTCCATCTCCACATACGCACATACTCAAGTCCATCTCCACATATGCACATACTCAAGTCCATCTCCACATATGCACATACTCAAGTCCATCTCCACATACGCAGATACTCAAGTCCATCTCCACATACGCAGATACTCAAGTCCATCTCCACATACGCACATACCTGCACATTTACACACTAGCAATTGTATAACTAATTTAAAACTAAAAACTTGAGCGGGTATAATAAATATCTTGGGACAGGCAGCCAGTATATATATACTAGACTTATATCTCGGTCCACCACCCCCACCCCCCACAACAAGCTAACTAACTTCCCGGATGTACCTATTTACGCCAAGGTGATCAGGGCCATTAGGTGATAGAAAAACGCGCCCAACCATATTTGTCCCGCCCGGGATTCGAACCCGGGATTATGGACCGCGAGTCGAGAATGAACCGGACTCGAGTACCGGCTCTAAATGACGAGTCCTTCTCTTTTATAGAGTCGACAGAGCCGCTGGTAAACACTTCTTCGTCCCTATCAGCATATAAATTGTTGATAATGCATGTTGAAACTGTTTAAACATTCGAGAGTGTTGGATTTAGCCTGAGAATATCCAATAGATTTCCTACGTCCTACGTCCAATTCCCTACGTCCTACGTCCAATTTCCTACGTTCTAAGGCCAATTCCCTACGCCCTACGGCCAATTCCCTACGTTCTAAGGCCAATTTCCTACGTTCTACGGCCAATTTCCTACGTCCTACGTCCAATTTCCTACGTCCTACGGCCAATTTCCTACGTCCTACGTCCAATTTCCTACGTCCTACGGCCAATTCCCTACGTCCTACGTCCAATTTCCTACGTCCTACGCTCAATTTCCTACGTCCAATTCCCTACATTCTACGTTCAATTTCCTGACGTCCTAAGCCCAATTCCCTATGTCCAATTCCCTACGTCCTACGGCCAATTCCCTACGTCCAATTCCCTGCGTCCTACGTCCGATTCCCTACGTCCTACGGCCAATTTACTACGTACTACGGCCAATTCCCTACGTCCTACGCCCAATTCCCTACGTCCTACGCCCAATTCCCTACGTCCAATTTCCTACGTCCTACGGCCAATTCCCTACGTCCAATTTCCTACGTCCTACGGCCAATTTCCTACGTCCTACGCCCAATTCCCTACGTCCTACGCCCAATTCCCTACGTCCTACGCCCAATTCCCTACGTCCTAAGCCCAATTTCCTACGTCCTAAGCCCAATTTCCTACGTCCTACGTCCAATTCCCTACGCCCTACGTCCAATTCCCTACGTCCTACGCCCAATTCCCTACGCCCAATTCCCTAAGCCCTACGTCCAATTCCCTACGTCCAATTCCCTACGTCCTGAGTAGCCCGCCAACTCACCTATGGTCGACAAATATAATCTGGTGTTTTTATGACGTCAATTCGACTACCACCACCACAACCCAACCTAACCCAACCCAACCTAACCTAACCCAACCTAACCCAACCTAACCTAACCTAACCTAACCCAACCTAACCCAACCTAACCCTGTCAGTTCGTCCCATATTTACAGTTGCTGCAACCTAAAGAAATCTGGGAATCAGTTTAATTTGCTTCGCAGTTGTGAAATACAGTTCTGACCTCGAATTGGAGTTGATATATATAACCATTTGATCGCTGGAAAAGTTTAAATATGATTAAATCCAGATATAAACTCCGTTCCTTGGTGGTGTTAGAGAGTTGAACTCTATAAAAGAATGGTTACCAGGACCGTCCTGGTTATATTGAGGAGACCTGCCTAGTGTGTTCAGTGTTCACTTTGTCACTTGAACCCTTTGTGTGTGTGTGTGTGTGTGTGTGTGTGGGGGGGGGGGGGTGTATACTCAACTAGTTGTGCTTGCGGGGGTTGAGCTCTGGCTCTTTGGTCCCGCCTCTCAACCGTCAACCATCCCGCCATGTGTGTGTGTGTGTGTGTGTGTGTGTGTGTGTGTGTGTGTGTGTGTGTGTGTGTGTGTGTGTGTGTGTGTGTGTGTGTGTGTGTGTGTACGGTGCTGTAGCGCCGCTACCGGTGGTGGAGGAGGTCTGTAGCGCCGCTACCGGTGGTGGAGGAGGTCTGTAGCGCCGCTACCGGTGGTGGAGGTGGTCTGTAGCGCCCCTACCGGTGGTGGAGGTGGTCTGTGGCGCCCCTACCGGTGGTGGAAGAGGTCTGTACCGCCGCTACCGGTGGTGGAGGTGGTCTGTGGCGCCGCTACCGGTGGTGGTGGTGGTCTGTAGCGCCCCTACCGGTGGTGGTGGTGGTCTGTGGCGCCCCTGCCGGTGGTGGAGATGGTCTGTGGCGCCGCTACCGGTGGTGGAGGTGGTCTGTAGCGCCCCTACCGGTGGTGGAGGTGGTCTGTAGCGCCCCTACCGGTGGTGGAGGTGGTCTGTGGCGCCGCTACCGGTGGTGGAAGAGGTCTGTACCGCCGCTACCGGTGGTGGAGGTGATCTGTGGCGCCCCTACCGGTGGTGGAGGAGGTCTCTGGCGCCCCCACCACTGGTGGAGGTGTGGCTCATACCAGTAACACAGTGAAAAAACGTCTTAGTCAAATCACCTCGTTCCTGTCGGCTCCTAAATCATTATATTTTCATCATTTTCTTATAATGTGTTTCACAATGACTTTTTTGTTAAGTAAGATTTGCTATAAATAGTCTTATATAATTTGTGTATTTCCTGTAATTGTGGCGGCTGTAGCTTCTTAAAATTATAAATTAAAATATAAAAATACTTTATATTTTTAAGTTTATAAATGTTCAACATTTTGAACATATTGGTTGAAAAACTTGTTCATTTAGTATGAACTATAGGGGGTGAGGGTATATAGTGCTTCTACAGAGATGTACTCGAGCACATGTTCCAGGAAGTGCTTCAAATGTTGAAGTGTAAACATCACAGGTCAAGGGTACAATACACAAACCCACAAGGGCCGTGACGAGGATTCGAACCTGCGTCCGGGAGCATCCCAGACACTGGCTTAATCGACTGAGCTTAATCGACTGAACTTAATCGACTGAGCTTAATCGACTGAGCTTAATCGACTTAATTTTGTTCGTTTGATGCATCACGTTAGTGTGATCTCTGTGTGTGTGTGAAGGGTACAATACATTGTTTAATAGCCTGTATTCTCTCTACCCCTCAATAGCTGTTCCTTGCGTGTCTGTGTAACCTCCAAAATGAGTCGCTGCTCTACGAGGTGGACACAGATAAACTCTTCAGCAACATCCAGGAGATCTACTGCGCCAACCTCACCTTCTGGAGGGAGCACATAGTAAGAATGCTAGAAGCGTCTAGATCAACGCGGCAGCCGTTGGACCCCACCCTGCTTACTGATGCCTTTTATAAGGTGGGTCCTCTATGTTGACCAGACCACACACTAGAAGTTGAAGGGACGACGACGTTTCGGTCCGTCCTGGCCCATTCTCAATCGACTTGACAATCGACTTGAGAATGGTCCAGGACGGACCGAAACGTCGTCGTCCCTTCAACTTCTAGTGTGTGGTCTGGTCAACATACTTCAGCCACGTTATTGTGACTCATCGCCTGCATATGGGTCCTCTACGGTGACGCCCTGTATAGTGACGGCTGTATAGACGCCGTCTATACAGCCGGAGCCGGTCGGCCGAGCGGACAGCACGCTGGACTTGTGGTCCTGGGTTCGATCCCAGGCGCCGGCGAGAAACAATGGGCAGAGTTTCTTTCACCCTATGCCCCTGTTACCTAGCAGTAAAATAGGTACCTGGGTGTTAGTCAGCTGTCACGGGCTGCTTCCTGGGGGTGGAGGCCTGGTCGAGGACCGGGTCGCACACAGGATCACAAGACCAGTGTGCTGTCCACTCGGCCGACCGGCTCCCTGGTCGTGTCGAATAATATTAATGCATAATTTCATCAACATGATGAAAGATATATTGAAAGATTGAACAATATGTATTAAAATATGTATTAAAAGATATGTCATTACTCATGTTATAGATTCAGCTACTGAATGCCCTGGTGGTCTCTAGCACCGTGTTAGATACCCCTAGTGGTCTCTAGCACCGTGTTAGATACCCCCTTGTGGTCTCTAGCACCATGTTAGATACCCCCTAGTGGTCTCTAGCACCGTGTTAGATATACCCCTAGTGGTCTCTAGCACCGTGTTAGATATCCCCTAGTGGTCTCTAGCACCGTGTTAGATACCCCCTAGTGGTCTCTAGCACCGTGTTAGATACCCTAGTGGTCTCTATATATCTATATCACTAAATATACCGAGCCCATAGTGGACCTATTAACCGGTGTCTTCAAGATTGTGGCCAGATGATAGCTATAACTCTAAAAAATCTTTAATACATTTAATTTATTTTTGCAGTTCGACGAGCTGTTCCACCCGTACACGCGGTACTGCCTTGAGCAGAGCAACTGTCAACTCTATTGTAAGGAGAAGGACCACGACAACGAATACTTCAAGATGTACCTTGCTGTGAGTATGACCCCCTGTGCTGTGTTAGGTATCGTAGTGGTCTCTATAGTGCTGTGTTAGGTATCCTAGTGGTCTCTTGTGCTGTTAGGTATCCTAGTGGTCTCTTGTGCTGTGTTAGGTATCCTAGTGGTCTCTATAGTGCTGTGTTAGGTATCCTAGTGGTCTCTATAGTGCTGTGTTAGGTATCCTAGTGGTCTCTTGTGCTGTGTTAGGTATCCTAGTGGTCTCTATAGTGCTGTGTTAGGTATCCTAGTGGTCTCTTGTGCTGTTAGGTATCCTAGTGGTCTCTGTTGTGCTGTTAGGTATCCTAGTGGTCTCTTGTGCTGTGTTAGGTATCCTAGTGGTCTCTTGTGCTGTGTTAGGTATCCTAGTGGTCTCTATAGTGCTGTGTTAGGTATCCTAGTGGTCTCTATAGTGCTGTTAGGTATCCTAGTGGTCTCTATAGTGCTGTGTTAGGTATCCTAGTGGTCTCTAGTACTGTGTTAGGTATCCTAGTGGTCTCTTGTGCTGTGTTAGGTATCCTAGTGGTCTCTGTTGTGCTGTTAGGTATCCTAGTGGTCTCTTGTGCTGTGTTAGGTATCCTAGTGGTCTCTTGTGCTGTGTTAGGTATCCTAGTGGTCTCTATAGTGCTGTTAGGTATCCTAGTGGTCTCTATAGTGCTGTGTTAGGTATCCTAGTGGTCTCTAGTACTGTGTTAGGTATCCTAGTGGTCTCTTGTGCTGTTAGGTATCCTAGTGGTCTCTTGTGCTGTGTTAGGTATCCTAGTGGTCTCTTGTGCTGTTAGGTATCCTAGTGGTCTCTTGTGCTGTGTTAGGTATCCTAGTGGTCTCTTGTGCTGTGTTAGGTATCCTAGTGGTCTCTATAGTGCTGTGTTAGGTATCCTAGTGGTCTCTATAGTGCTGTGTTAGGTATCCTAGTGGTCTCTATAGTGCTGTGTTAGGTATCCTAGTGGTCTCTATAGTGCTGTGTTAGGTATCCTAGTGGTCTCTATAGTGCTGTGTTAGGTATCCTAGTAGTCTCTATAGTGCTGTGTTAGGTATCCTAGTGGTCTCTTGTGCTGTTAGGTATCCTAGTGGTCTCTAGTGCTGTGTTAGGTATCCTAGTGGTCTCTATAGTGCTGTGTTAGGTATCCTAGTGGTCTCTTGTGCTGTGTTAGGTATCCTAGTGGTTTCTAGTGCTGTGTTAGGTATCCTAGTGTTAGGTATCCTAGTGGTCTCTATAGTGCTGTGTTAGGTATCATAGTGGTCTCTTGTGCTGTGTTAGGTATCCTAGTGGTCTCTTGTGCTGTGTTAGGTGTCCTAGTGGTCTCTTGTGCTGTGTTAGGTATCCTAGTGGTCTCTTGTGCTGTGTTAGGTATCCTAGTGGTCTCTATAGTGCTGTGTTAGGTATCCTAGTGGTCTCTATAGTGCTGTGTTAGGTATCCTAGTGGTCTCTATAGTGCTGTGTTAGGTATCCTAGTGGTCTCTATAGTGCTGTGTTAGGTATCCTAGTGGTCTCTATAGTGCTGTGTTAGGTATCCTAGTGGTCTCTATAGTGCTGTGTTAGGTATCCTAGTGGTCTCTTGTGCTGTGTTAGGTATCCTAGTGGTCTCTATAGTGCTGTTAGGTATCCTAGTGGTCTCTATAGTGCTGTGTTAGGTATCCTAGTGGTCTCTATAGTGCTGTGTTAGGTATCCTAGTGGTCTCTATAGTGCTGTTAGGTATCCTAGTAGTCTCTATAGTGCTGTGTTAGGTATCCTAGTGGTCTCTTGTGCTGTTAGGTATCCTAGTGGTCTCTTGTGCTGTGTTAGGTATCCTAGTGGTCTCTAGTGCTGTGTTAGGTATCCTAGTGGTCTCTATAGTGCTGTGTTAGGTATCCTAGTGGTTTCTAGTGCTGTGTTAGGTATCCTAGTGTTAGGTATCCTAGTGGTCTCTATAGTGCTGTGTTAGGTATCCTAGTGGTCTCTTGTGCTGTGTTAGGTATCCTAGTGGTCTCTAGTGCTGTGTTAGGTATCCTAGTGGTCTCTATAGTGCTGTGTTAGGTATCCTAGTGGTTTCTAGTGCTGTGTTAGGTATCCTAGTGTTAGGTATCCTAGTGGTCTCTATAGTGCTGTGTTAGGTATCCTAGTGGTCTCTTGTGCTGTGTTAGGTATCCTAGTGGTCTCTTGTGCTGTGTTAGGTATCCTAGTGGTCTCTATAGTGCTGTTAGGTATCCTAGTGGTCTCTATAGTGCTGTGTTAGGTATCCTAGTAGTCTCTATAGTGCTGTGTTAGGTATCCTAGTGGTCTCTATAGTGCTGTGTTAGGTATCCTAGTGGTCTCTTGTGCTGTGTTAGGTATCCTAGTGGTTTCTAGTGCTGTGTTAGGTATCCTAGTGTTAGGTATCCTAGTGGTCTCTATAGTGCTGTGTTAGGTATCCTAGTGGTCTCTTGTGCTGTGTTAGGTATCCTAGTGTTAGGTATCCTAGTGGTCTCTATAGTGCTGTGTTAGGTATCCTAGTGGTCTCTTGTGCTGTGTTAGGTATCCTAGTGGTCTCTTGTGCTGTGTTAGGTATCCTAGTGGTCTCTAGTGCTGTGTTAGGTATCCTAGTGGTCTCTTGTGCTGTGTTAGGTATCCTAGTGGTCTCTTGTGCTGTGTTAGGTATCCTAGTGGTTTCTAGTGCTGTGTTAGGTATCCTAGTGTTAGGTATCCTAGTGGTCTCTATAGTGCTGTGTTAGGTATCCTAGTGGTCTCTAGTGCTGTGTTAGGTATCCTAGTGGTTTCTAGTGCTGTGTTAGGTATCCTAGTGTTAGGTATCCTAGTGGTCTCTATAGTGCTGTGTTAGGTATCCTAGTGGTCTCTTGTGCTGTGTTAGGTATCCTAGTGGTCTCTTGTGCTGTTAGGTATCCTAGTGGTTTCTAGTGCTGTGTTAGGTATCCTAGTGGTTTCTAGTGCTGTTAGGTATCCTAGTGGTCTCTTGTGTTGTGTTATGTATCCTAGTGGTTTCTAGTGCTGTGTTAGGTATCCTAGTGTTAGATATCCTAGTGGTTTCTAATGTTGTGTTAGATATCCTAGTGGTTTCTAGTGCTGTTAGATATCCTAGTGGTTTCTAGCGTTGTTAAATATCCTAGTGGTCTCTCTAGTGCTGTGTTAGGTATCCTAGTGGTTTCTAGTGCTGTGTTTGATATCCTACTGGTCTCTCTAGTGCTGTTAGGTATCCTAGTGGTTTCTAGTGTTGTGTTAGGTATCCTAGTGCTGTGTTAGGTATCCTAGTGGTCTCTATAGTGCTGTGTTAGATAGCCTAGTGGTTTATAGTGCTGTGTTAGGTATCCTAGTGGTTTCTAGTGCTGTTAGATATCCTTATGGTTTCTAGTGCTGTGTTAGGTGTCCTAGTGGTTTCTAGTGCTGTGTTAGATGTCCTAGTGGTGTCTCTAGTGCTGTTAGATATCCTGGTGGTGTGTCTAGTGCTGTGTTAGATATCCTAGTGGTTTCTAGTGTTGTTAAATATCGTAGTGGTCTCTATAGTGCTGTGTTAGATATCCTAGTGGTTTCTAATGCTGTTAGATATCCTAGTGGTCTTTCTTGTGCTGTGTTAGATATTCATCGTGGTCTCTAGCACCGTGTTAGATACCCTTGTGGTCTCTAGCACCGTGTTAGATACCCCTAGTGGTCTCTAGCACCGTGTTAGATACCCCCTAGTGGTCTCTAGCACCGTGTTAGATACCCCCTAGTGGTCTCTAGCACCGTGTTAGATACCCCTAGTGGTCTCTAGCACCGTGTTAGATACCCTACTGGTCTCTAGCACCGTGTTAGACCCCAGGTACATCACACCAATAGCGTATCTCAACAATGCAGCATTCACAGCGCAATATATATTGCTCAAATTGCAAGCCTAGTGTCATATTGCAGGGATAAAGCCATTAATATAAACCCTGTAATCAATAAAACTAATATGATCATAGAGATAAATGTACGCGAGGTGCTGCATTTATATTTCATTCTAAATGGCTGTAACGTTGAGGGCTTTGAAAAGGCTTTAGTACCCCCTCCACGGGTCGCTGGGCCGCGCGGCAATTGTTTATGTCAAGCGGTTATTTCGCGGATATTTGAGGCGTTGGTTTTCAATGGGCCGCGAGGCTTGAAGCTTTTCGTAGCCCCTATATGCCGAGGGTTAGGGCTGTCGTAGCCTTGGGGTGAGGTTTTTGAGGCTATTTTATATCTCTGGGGCGAGGCTTGAGGCTATTTTATATCTCTGGGGCGAGGCTTGAGGCTATTTTATATCTCTGGGGCGAGGCTTGAGGCTATTTTATATCTCTGGGACGAGGCTTGAGGCTATCCCAGAACTGGGGCGAGACTTGACGCTATCCCAGAACTGGGGCGAGGCTTGAGGCTATCCCAGAACTGGGGCGAGGTTTGAGGCTATCCCAGAACTGGGGCGAGGCTTGAGGCTATCCCAGAACTGGGGCGAGGCTTGTGGCTATCCCAGAACTGGGGCGAGGCTTGAGGCTATCCCAGAACTGGGGCGAGGCTTGTGGCTATCCCAGAACTGGGGCGAGGCTTGTGGCTATCCCAGAACTGGGGCGAGGCTTGTGGCTATCCCAGAACTGGGGCGAGGCTTGTGGCTATCCCAGAACTGGGGCGAGGCTTGTGGCTATCCCAGAACTGGGGCGAGGCTTGTGGCTATCCCAGAACTGGGGCGAGGCTTGTGGCTATCCCAGAACTGGGGCGAGGCTTGTGGCTATCCCAGAACTGGGGCGAGGCTTGAGGCTATCCCAGAACTGGGGCGAGGCTTGTGGCTATCCAAGAACTGGGGCGAGGCTTGAGGCTATCCCAGAACTGGGGCGAGGCTTGACGCTATCCCAGAACTGGGGCGAGGCTTGTGGCTATCCCAGAACTGGGGCGAGGCTTGTGGCTATCCAAGAACTGGGGCGAGGCTTGAGGCTATCCCAGAACTGGGACGAGGCTTGTGGCTATCCCAGAACTGGGGCGAGGCTTGAGGCTATCCCAGAACTGGGGCGAGGCTTGTGGCTATCCCAGAACTGGGGCGAGGCTTGTGGCTATCCCAGAACTGGGGCGAGGCTTGTGGCTATCCCAGAACTGGGGCGAGGCTTGTGGCTATTCCAGAACTGGGGCGAGGCTTGTGGCTATCCCAGAACTGGGGCGAGACTTGAGGCTATCCCAGAACTGGGGCGAGGCTCTAGGCTATCCCAGAACTGGGGCGAGGCTCTAGGCTATCCCAGAACTGGGGCGAGGCTTGAGGCTATCCCAGAACTGGGGCGAGGCTTGAGGCTATCCCAGAACTGGGGCGAGGCTTGAGGCTATCCCAGAACTGGGACGAGGCTTGACGCTATCCCAGAACTGGGGCGAGGCTTGATGCTATCCCAGAACTGTGGCGAGGCTTGAGGCTATCCCAGAACTGGGGCGAGGCTTGAGGCTATCCCAGAACTGGGGCGAGGCTTGTGGCTATCCCAGAACTGGGGCGAGGCTTGTGGCTATCCCAGAACTGGGGCGAGGCTTGAGGCTATCCCAGAACTGGGGCGAGGCTTGAGGCTATCCCAGAACTGGGGCGAGGCTTGAGGCTATCCCAGAACTGGGGCGAGGCTTGACGCTATCCCAGAACTGGGGCGAGGCTTGAGGCTATCCCAGAACTGGGGACGAGGCTTGAGGCTATCCCAGAACTGGGGCGAGGCTTGACGCTATCCCAGAACTGGGGCGAGGCTTGAGGCTATCCCAGAACTGGGGCGAGGCTTGACGCTATCCCAGAACTGGGACGAGGCTTGAGGCTATCCCAGAACTGGGGCGAGGCTTGACGCTATCCCAGAACTGGGACGAGGCTTGACGCTATCCCAGAACTGGGGCGAGACTTGAGGCTATCCCAGAACTGGGACGAGGCTTGACGCTATCCCAGAACTGAGGCGAGGCTCTAGGCTATCCCAGAACTGGGGCGAGACTTGAGGCTATCCCAGAACTGGGGCGAGACTTGAGGCTATCCCAGAACTGGGGCGAGGCTTGAGGCTATCCCAGAACTGGGGCGAGGCTTGACGCTATCCCAGAACTGGGGCGAGGCTTGAGGCTATCCCAGAACTGGGACGAGGCTCTAGGCTATCCCAGAACTGGGGCAAGGCTTGTGGCTATCCCAGAACTGGGGCAAGGCTTGAGGCTATCCCAGAACTGGGACGAGGCTCTAGGCTATCCCAGAACTGGGCGAGGTTTGAGGCTATCCCAGAACTGGGGCGAGGTTTGAGGCTATCCCAGAACTGGGGCGAGACTTGACGCTATCCCAGAACTGGGACGAGGCTCTAGGCTATCCCAGAACTGGGGCGAGACTTGAGGCTATCCCAGAACTGGGACGAGGCTCTAGGCTATCCCAGAACTGGGGCGAGGCTCGAGGCTATCCCAGAACTGGGACGAGGCTCTAGGCTATCCCAGAACTGGGGCGAGGTTTGAGGCTATGAAAGCCCCTGTGGGCCCATACTTAAAGTAGCTGTGTTACCATATACTTTCCTGTATGGAAGGTATATGGTAGTGTATGGCTCAATAGAACCATAGCATTTATTAAGGTAATATTATAATGAACGTATACCATAGAGATACCATTGTGCGGTGTATTATAGCTGGGTTTACATAGTAGTAACACAACAATCATTGTTTATATACTGTTATTTTCTGATTGCTGATGCCTAAAGAATATGGAAAATGCCTAATAGTTTCCTCAAACTTTGCTTTGATTGTTGTCTAAGACAGTCTAGGAATAGCGTTTTGAAAAGGCTGGTAGGCTGCTACCTTTCATAGTTCGGCCGTCTTTAAGTACCTTCAAGACCCCTTCAAGACGACCTTTCAAAAGTCACAGCAGAGTTTGATAGGAATAAGTAATTTTCCTATACTATGGAGGCATAATCAGAAAATAATACTTAATACTATTGAATCAAAATAAGAAGTTACACAATTTGGGATATGAATTTCAATTTAATTTGATTTTTAAGTTTCGAAGCACCAGGCTTCGTTTGCATGTTTTGAAGAACTTTTGTTATTCAGAAGTCAGGCTACATAGGACGTTTGTTGATTGTTCTAAGGAATATATGTGTGTGTGTACTCGCCTAGTTGTGCTTGCGGGGGTTGAGCTCTGGCTCTTTGGTCCCGCCTCTCAACTGTCAATCAACAGGTGTACAGGTTCCTGAGCCTACTGGGCTCTATCATATCTACACTTGAAACTGTGTATGGAGTCAGCCTCCACCACATCACTGCCTAATGCATTCCATTTGTCAACCACTCTGACACTAAAAAAGTTCTTTCTAATATCTCTGTGGCTTATTTGGGCGCTCAGTTTCCACCTGTGTCTTCTTGTGCGTGTTCCCCTTGTATTAAATAGCCTGTCTTTATCTACCCTATCAATTCCCTTCCCTATCAATTCCCTTCAGAATCTTGAATGTGGTGATCATGTCCCCCCTAACTCTTCTGTCTTCCAGTGACGTGAGGTTTAATTCCCGTAGTCTCTCCTCGTAGCTCATACCTCTCAGCTCGGGTACTAGTCTGGTGGCAAACCTTTGAACCTTTTCCAGTTTAGTCTTATGCTTGACTAAATACGGACTCCATGCTGGAGCCGCATACTCCAGGATTGGTCTGACATACGTGGTATATAATGTTCTGAAAATATAATTCCTTACACAAGTTTCTAAATGCAGTTCTTATGTTAGCCAACCTGGCATATGCTGCTGATGTTATCCTCTTGATATGAGATTCAGGGGACAGGTCTGGCGTGATATCAACCCCCAGGTCTTTCTCTCTCTCTCTCTCTCTCTCACTCTTGAAGTATTTCATCTCCCAAGTGATACCTTGTATCTGTGCTCCTGCTTCCTACCCCTATCTTCATTACATTACATTTGCTTGGGTTAAACTCTTGTGTGTGTGTGTGTGGGGGGGGGGGGGACTGGCAAATGTATGCTGTGATGTGCAAAATATTATGTGCTGTTGCAGTGGTGTGAGACGCAGAAGGAGTGCAACAGACTACGTCTAGTGGACATCCTTGTGCAACCTATGCAACGCCTGACCAAGTACTCACTTCTGCTCAAGGCCATCCTTAAGAAGACCAACCTCGAGGATCACAAGCTCTGCCTTCACGATATGGTGAGTTAATTTTTCTTTCAGGTCAAGTGGCACTTGAGTGGTTTGGTGAGTGTGCGGTGATCCTTCACGATAGGTGGAACTTCACTAGTGAAGTGGTAACGATGTGCTATCATGGCAGATAGCACATCGTTAAACACCTTAGGTGAACAAAACATGTGTATATATATATATATATATATATATATATATATATATATATATATATATATATATATATATATATATATATATATATGTGTGTGTGTATATCACGAAAATAAACACGTGATTAAGAATGTGACAATGTCAGACCATGGAGGAAAAATGAAACAGGAAATTTCCTTAAGTACTTTCGTATATTAAATACATCTTCAGAAGGTCAATTTACCTTCAGAAGGACCTTCTGAAGATGTATTTAATATACGAAAGCACTTAAGGAAATTTCCTGTTTCATTTTTCCTCCGTGGTCTGACATTGTCATATATATATATATATATATATATATATATATATATATATATATATATATATATATATATATATATATATATATATATATATATATATATATATACATATATATACATACATACATACATACAAGAGTTGTTACATTCTTGTACAGCCACTAGTACGCGTAGCGTTTCGGGCAAATCCTTAATCCTATGTTCCCTGGAATACGACCCCTTCTTGAGGTTATCTTGATGATTTCGGGGCTTTAGTGTCCCCGCGGCCCAGTCCTCGACCAAGTCTCCACCCCCAGGAAGCAGCCCGTGACAGCTGACTAACACCCAGGTACCTATTTTACTGCTAGGTAACAGGGGGGCATAGGGTGAAAGAAACTCTGCCCATTGTTTCTCGCCGGCGCCTGGGATCGAACCCAGGACCACAGGATCACAAGTCCAGTGTGCTGTCCGCTCGGCCGACCGGCTCCCCAAGACTGTCAAGAGTTATCTGAGAAGTGAAGGGCCTTGTTTCGAAACAATAGTTCCCAAAGACCTACTGAAAAGACACCCAATACACACACACACAAGAAAATAAAGGCAGGGACCTCGATACAGTCAGTCTTGGAGCGTTACAAAACCCGCCTGTTGTGACTTGCAATCCGCACTGTAATGACACTGTTAACCTCCTTGTGGAGCCTGTCGGCCGAGCGGACAGCACGCTGTACTTGTGATCCTGTGGTTCTGGGTTCGATCCCAGGCGCCGGCGAGAAACAGTGGCAGAGTTTCTTTCATCCTATGCCCCTGTTACCTAGCAGTAAAATAGGTACCTGGGAGTTAGTCAGCTGTCACGGGCTGCTTCCTGGGGGTGGAGGCCTGGTCGAGGACCGGGCCGCGGGGACACTAAAGCCCCGAAATCATCTCAAGATAACCTCCTCTATTGGCTTGTATTGTCACTCCCTAATGACACCATCTTAGATGGGATATTCATCCTCTATACTTGACAATAGTGAATTTGTTTAAATCATGATGACAGCCCGCCAAACACACACCGAAACTACGACGTTGGTACAACGTTCGAACAAGTTTTAACACCACCTAACCAGTTATAACAACCAATATAGCAAGTTGTAACAACATTCTAATACGTCATAAACACGGTAAGCCAAGATGTAACAACTTTATTACAAGTTGTAACAAGCGGAAAATAGAGACAGTTTCGGTTTGTGTTTCCAGGGAGTAGCCTCAATAAATGACATTATGGAAATAGAGGACGATACCTGGACGCAATAGAGGCGATAGCGCCCAATAACCTACAATAATACCTGTAACTGCCATGCAGATATTTCAGCATCTTGCTGTACCTCAAGTACGATACTTAGATTTTGTTTAGGAATTTTCCTGTAGTCTAGAATTAATGTACTTTTTCTCTTTTAAGGGTGAGGATAGAGCGCATAAAGATGAGGATAGAGCGCATAAAGATGAGGATAGAGCGCATGAAGATGAGGATAGAGCGCATGAAGATGAGGATAGAGCGCATAAAGATGAGGATAGAGCGCATAAAGATGAGGATAGAGCGCATAAAGATGAGGATAGAGCGCATAAAGATGAAGATAGAGCGCATAAAGATGAGGATAGAGCGCATAAAGATGAGGATAGAGCGCATAAAAATGAGGATAGAGCGCATAAAGATGAGGATAGAGCGCATAAAGATGAGGATAGAGCGCATAGAGATGAGGATAGAGCGCATAAAGATGAGGATAGTGCGCATAAAGATGAGGATAGAGCGCATAGAGATGAGGATAGAGCGCATGAGGAGTGTACTTTGTTTAACCTTAATCTCCGTATGTCTTAACTATAACTGCAAGAAAAATGGATGTTTCAGATTGTTTCGAAGGGCGGCTGCGTGGAATATTTTTCTGTTCACTAAAAACTATTTCTTTGTTCACTAAAAAATGGTGTTTTTTTTATATGTTCGAGTGTGTGTCAGCCTGTCTTTGTATCTTTCAGTCCTTTTGTCTATGTCTTTGTCTCTGTCCCTCTCGTATCTGTCTCTCTCTGTGTCTGTGTCTGTTTCTCTCTGTCTCTCTCTCTCTCTCTCTCTCTCATACCAGGGTTATGTCAGCTTTACAATGTCATTATATCAGGCTCGTATCGCTAATTTACTATAAACATTATACCAGACCCCCCTCACATTATGCCTGTACATATACCAGCGTGCCCTGGCTCACGGCACCTGTGTGCCGGGCTCACGGCACCTGTGTGCCGGGCTCACGGCACCTGTGTGCCGGGCTCACGGCACCTGTGTGCCGGGCTCACGGCACCTGTGTGCCGGGCTCACGGCACCTGTGTGCCGGGCTCACGGCACCTGTGTGCCAGGCTCACGGCACCTGCGTGGCACCACAACCCGATGACAACCATTTGACACCTGTGTTTGTGTCAACAGATCACGCATGTTGAAAGCTTCGTGTCAAACGTCAACTCTGCCCTCCGACACAAGCACGAACAGGAGAGACTGCGAGACATCGCTAAGAGAATAGAGGCGTACGAGGCTGTGGTGAGATGACCTGTTAAACTATTTGTTCTAGCATTTGTGGTACTGATCTTCATCTATTCTGTGTATAATTCATCATATAAGATAACGTAATAGCATACTGTTATAGAACCGAGCTTGTTTAACCTAATTATTTTAATGTTTTATGGATATTCCTTTATTGTTTTGTTTTCTCAAAACTGTTACTGTTACTATTAGTTTTATGTATATTATGTCATTGGTCTTGTGTGTGTGTGTGTACAGGAGGCGCGAGACGATGAGCTGGAGAGAGTAGTGAGGAATTACTCTGACCTGAACCTTACCCAACCCATGCCCGGATGCCCGGAACACCTGCCCCGGCACCTCCTTCACCACGGCGACCTCAGACTCCGCGACCCTCACACCTCCAAGATGGATGTCCATGTTTTCCTCTTCACGGACCTCCTCCTCATTACCAAGGTCACCCAGCGCAAGGCAGAGAAGGTCAAGGTCAGTATGGGGGGAGGAACTGGACATTTGTATGACCTGTCGTCTCATTCTTGCAGTAACGTCTGGCGCCGTTCCTTCAAGTAGGGCGCCGTTCCTTCAAGTATGGCGCCGTTCCTTCAAGTATGGCGCCGTTCCTTCAAGTATGGCGCCGTTCCTTCAAGTAGGGCGCCGTTCGTTCAAGTAGGGCGCCGTTCCTTCAAGTATGGCGCCGTTCCTTCAAGTATGGCGCCGTTCCTTCAAGTATGGCGCCGTTCCTTCAAGTATGGCGCCGTTCCTTCAAGTAGGGCGCCGTTCCTTCAAGTAGGGCGCCGTTCCTTCAAGTATGGCGCCGTTCCTTCAAGTAGGGCGCCGTTCCTTCAAGTATGGCGCCGTTCCTTCAAGTAGGGCGCCGTTCCTTCAAGTATGGCGCCGTTCCTTCAAGTATGGCGCCGTTCCTTCAAGTATGGCGCCGTTCCTTCAAGTAGGGCGCCGTTCCTTCAAGTTGGGCGCCGTTCCTTCAAGTAGGGCGCCGTTCCTTCAAGTAGGGCGCCGTTCCTTCAAGTAGGGCGCCGTTCCTTCAAGTAGGGCGCCGTTCCTTCAAGTAGGGCGCCGTTCCTTCAAGTATGGCGCCGTTCCTTCAAGTAGGGCGCCGTTCCTTCAAGTAGGGCGCCGTTCCTTCAAGTAGGGCGCCGTTCCTTCAAGTATGGCGCCGTTCCTTCAAGTAGGGCGCCGTTCCTTCAAGTAGGGCGCCGTTCCTTCAAGTAGGGCGCCGTTCCTTGGTTCTCTCTTTGGATCTTTTACTTCTGATGGAGGTTGTGTGTTGGCCCCCACGCTGAGGAAGACATTGATGGGGTGCTGCTCAGGAATAGCGCATAGCGTGAAATGAGACCCGCCGAGCTAATGCCCAATTGTTTCTGCTCCCACCGCCTTGATGTTAGGTTACACGAGAGCTTGAGGTTCTTGGGTCGGGAGTCTGGGTGAACAGCTCCTCGGACCCTGCTGGTGCTGCTTGGGTAGCAACTTTTTTTCGTAGAAGTTTGCAGAGCAATAGTTAACTTTCCTTCTGTCGGCAGTTATTGCTTGAAGGTGATGGTGCTGCGAGGTTTTCTGCGATGCTCGGTGTTGAAGCGAGCGGCACTCTTGTTGGTGGGTGGAAGTTTTCCCCTCCATGGTCTCTATAGCCTATCATGACTAAATTATAAACAGTCACAGAGGAAATGCATTAAATATGTATACATTAAATAATATACATTAAGGCGTCTTGTACATACCAGTTGCGTGGCTCCTGGGAGTATGGGTTCGAGTCACTTCTGGGGTGTGAGTTTTCAGTTGCATATTGTCCTGGGGACCATTCAGGCTTGTTCGCATTAAATAATATATTTAAGAAAACAGCCTTAACACTCTCTCGACATACCTCTTCAACGGTATTAATATTAATTGAAAAAACATGTGTTTTTGTATTTCGCAATGTCTTAAATTCCATTGGCCTTTTGGCTGCATTATGTGGATATTCTCTATAACACGAGAGTGAAAACAGTAGCAAGAATGGTTTCTCACACAGGGCATATGATCGGTAGAATTGCATTTTTTTTATTATTAATACATTAGGTACATGGTTGATCAGTCCAGCAACCAGGAGGCCTGGTCGACGACAGGGCCGTGGGGACACTAAGCCCCGGAAGCACCTCAAGGTAACCTCAAGGTAAGGTACGTCAGCTCGAGGTTCAGATGCCGTACACAGGTAAATATTATCAAGCAACGTGGCCGGGGGAAACACTTGTGAAGGATAGATGAAATTGTTAATGTAATAATCAATCAGGTCTGATAAAGACCTTTTCTGCCCTCTGTAATCCCTTTTTGCGCTACCACTCACAGGATGAGTATGGGGTGCACAATAAACTAGCCGCCTCCTGTGGCAACAGTCAGTCAGGTCACGTGTTCTAGCTTCTGTATATACGAGTGTTACTAAACCTGAATTTACATGAGAGCCACTAACACTAGTGGCCTTGACGAAGACAGGAAGCCGGCGTATAATAAATAAATTATTAGATAATATAATTATATATATATATATTAGTATATTTTGGTAGCAGTCTTTCCTGTAGACATATATTATTAAATATGACCGAAAAAGTAAGATTAATAATTCTAACGCGAATTTTCTCAATCTTTCGTACATTTCTTTTCACTGTTGGAGGTAAATCAAAAATCAATTCTCCAAAATTCATTTTTATTTCTAGTCTGACGCGACACGAGCGCGTTTCGTAAAACTTATTACATTTTCAAAGACTTTAGTTTACAAATACACAACTGAATAGAACTTACGCATCTCCGATTTTGTTTATATCTACATTTGAGAGAGGTGGATGGAGTGAGGTGGCATTAATAGGGTATTAATTTCATCAACACAAGACAGAACAAGAGGTGGCATTAATAGGGTATTAATTTCATCAACACAAGACAGAACAAGAGGTGGCATTAATAGGGTATTAATTTCATCAACACAAGACAGAACACGAAACAATGGTTATTGAATAGAAGTGATTGTAGAAAGCCTATTGGTCCATATTTCTTGATGCTTCTATATTGGAGCGGAGTCTTGAGGTGGGTAGAATATAGTTGTGCATTAATTGGCTGTTGATTGCTGGTGTTGACTTCTTGATGTGTAGTGCCTCGCAAACGCACTACACATCAGATAGATACAGCGATAGCAGGCGGCTTGACGTTTGCGATCGATAGATACAGCGATAGCAGGCGGCTTGACGTTTGCGATCGATAGATACAACGATAGCAGGCGGCTTGACGTTTGCGAGGCACTACACATCAAGAAGTCAACACCAGCAATCAACAGCCAATTAATGCACAACTATATTCTACCCACCTCAAGACTCCGCTCCAATATAGAAGCATCAAGAAATATGGACCAATAGGCTTTCTACAATCACTTCTATTCAATACCCATTGTTTCGTGTTCTGTCTTGTGTTGATGAAATTAATACCCTATTAATGCCACCTCACCCCATCCACCTCTCTCAAATGTAGATATAAACAAAATCGGAGATGCGTAAGTTCTATTCAGTTGTGTATTTGTAAACTAAAGTCTTTGAAAATGTAATAAGTTTTACGAAACGCGCTCGTGTCGCGTCAGACTAGAAATAAAAATGAATTTTGGAGAATTGATTTTTGATTTACCTCCAACAGTGAAAAGAAATGTACGAAAGATTGAAAAAATTCGTGTTAGAATTATTAATCTTACTTTTTCGGTCATATTTAATAATATATATATATATATATATATATATATATATATATATATATATATATATATATATATATATATATATATATATATATATATATATATATATATATATATATATATATATATATATATATATATATATATATATATATATGTCGTACCTAATAGCCAGAACGTACTTATCAGCCTACTATTCAAGGCCCGATTTGCCTAATAAGCCAAGTTTTCATGAATTAATGTTTTTTCGACTACCTAACCTACCTAACCTAACCTAACCTAACTTTTTCTGCTACCTAACCGAACCTAACCTATGAAGATAGGTTAGGTTAGGTTAGGTAGGGTTGGTTAGGTTTGGTCATATATCTACGTTAATTTTAACTCCATTAAAAAAAATTGACCTCATACATAATGAAATGGGTAGCTTTATCATTTCGTAAGAAAAAACTAGAGAAAACATATTAATTCATAAAAACTTGGCTTATTAGGCAAATCGGACCTTGCATTGTAGGCTGATAAGTGCGTTCTGGCTACTAGGTACGACATATATATATATATATATATATATATATATATATATATATATATATATATATATATATATATATATATATATATAAATATATATATAATTATTAAATATGACCGAAAAAGTAAGATTACTAATTCTAACACGAATTTTCTCAATCTTTCGTACATTACGCTTCACTGTTGGAGGTAAATAAAAAATCACTTCTCCAAAATTCATTTTTATTTCTAGTCTGACGCAACACGGGCGCGTTTCGTAAAACGTATTACATTTTCAAAGACTTCACAAATACACAACTGATTAGAACTTACGTATCTCTGATTTTATATCTACATTTGAGTGAGGTGGGAGGGGTGATGTAGCATTAACACAAGACAGAACAAGAGGGGATATTAATAGGGTATTAAAAGTATCAACACAAGACAGAACAGAAACAATGGGTATTGAATAGAAGTGTTTGTAGAAAGCCTATTGGTCCATATTTCTTGATGCTTCTATATTGGAGCGGAGTCTTGAGGTGGGTAGAATATAGTTGTGCAATAATTGGCTGTTGATTGCTGGTGTTGACTTCTTGATGTGTAGTGCCTCGCAAACGTCAAGCCGCCTGCTATCGCTGTATCTATCGATGATTTCTGTGTTGTTTACTAGGATTTCTCTGGCGATGGTTTGGTTATGGGAAGAGATTATATGTTCCTTAATGGAGCCCTGTTGCTTATGCATCGTTAAACGCCTAGAAAGAGATGTTGTTGTCTTGCCTATATACTGGGTTTTTTGGAGCTTACAGTCCCCAAGTGGGCATTTGAAGGCATAGACGACGTTAGTCTCTTTTAAAGCATTCTGTTTTGTGTCTGGAGAGTTTCTCATGAGTAGGCTGGCCGTTTTTCTGGTTTTATAGTAAATCGTCAGTTGTATCCTCTGATTTTTGTCTGTAGGGATAACGTTTCTATTAACAATATCTTTCAGGACCCTTTCCTCCGTTTTATGAGCTGTGGAAAAGAAGTTCCTGTAAAATAGTCTAATAGGGGGTATAGGTGTTGTGTTAGTTGTCTCTTCAGAGGTTGCATGGCTTTACACTTTCCTTCTTATGATGTCTTCGATGAAACCATTGGAGAAGCCGTTATTGACTAGGACCTGCCTTACCCTACAGAGTTCTTCGTCGACTTGCTTCCATTCTGAGCTGTGGCTGAGAGCACGGTCGACGTATGCGTTAACAACACTCCTCTTGTATACAAGATATATATATATATATATATATATATATATATATATATATATATATATATATATATATATGTGGTACCTAGTAGCCAGAACGCACTTCTCAGCCTACTATGCAAGGCCCGATTTGCCTAATAAGCCAAGTTTTCCTGAATTAATATATTTTCTCTATTTTTTTTCTTATGAAATGATAAAGCTACCCATTTCATTATGTATGAGGTCAATTTTTTTTAATTGGAGTTAAAATTAACGTAGATATATGACCGAACCTAACCAACCCTACCTAACCTATCTCTATAGGTTAGGTTAGGTAGCCGAAAAAGTTAGGTTAGGTAGGTTAGGTAGTCGAAAAACAATTAATTCATGAAAACTTGGCTTATTAGGCAAATCGGGCCTTGCATAGTAGGCTGAAAAGTGCGTTCTGGCTACTAGGTACGACATATATATATATATATATATATATATATATATATATATATATATATATATATATATATATGTCGTACCTAGTAGCCAGAACGCAATTCTCAGCCTACTATGCAAGGCCCGATTTGCCTAATAAGCCAAGTTTTACTGAAATAATATATTTTCTCTAATTTTTTTCTTATGAAATGATAAAGCTACTCATTTCATTATGTATGAGGTTAATTTTTTTTTATTGGAGTTAAAATTAACGTAGATATATGACCGAACCTAACCAACCCTACCTAACCTAACCTAACTTATCTCTATATGTTAGGCTAGGTTAGGTAGCCGAAAATGTTAGGTTAGGTTAGGTTAGGTAGGTTAGGTAGTCGAAAAAACATTAATTCATGAAAACTTGGCTTATTAGGCAAATTGGGCCTTACATAGTAGGCTGAGAAGTGCGTTCTGGCTACTAGGTACGACATATATATATATATATATATATATATATATATATATATATAGTTGACCTACCTACCCAACTACTAGCTGATAGTTGACCAGACCACACACTAAAAGGTGAAGGGACGACGACGTTTCGATCGACAATCGACTTGAGAATGGTCCAGGACGGACCGAAACGTCGTCGTCCCTTCACCTTCTAGTGTGTGGTCTGGTCAACTTACTTTAGCCACGTTATTGTGCCTCATCGCCTGCACCTTCCCTGATAATGAACAGTCAGCGTGCGAGGTCACTCGTCCAATCATACCAGAGTTGTTGTTTAAGATTCAGCTACTAAAAACAAAACATTCCAAGTAGCACGGGCTATGGTGAGCCCGTAGTGGACTTACCATCATACCAGAGTGATTGCCAGGCTCCCGATTGGCTTCCTGATGACACGTGACCTGTAGGACATCACCGCCTTCACTTGACCTCGCTACTGATTCAAGCTCCATCTTATTTCCATAAAGATCTAGTAGAAAAAAAAGCAGAAAATGTTCTTTTTTTTTCTACCTAATCATTTGCATTCTAAGAGAATATATTCCATCTAGAGCAGTGCTAAAAGCTTGCCATGATTGGGAATGACTCTCAACATGGGCAAGATGTTATGTGATTGTTTTCACATAACATTGTGTTATGCTTCGAAGGTGTTGGTGTTGATATATGAAGGTTCATTGTGTTATGCTTCGAAGGTGTTGGTGTTGATATATGAAGGTTCATTGTGTTGTGCTTCAAAGGTGTTGGTGTTGATATATGAAGGTTCAATGTGTTGTGCTTCAAAGGTGTTGGTGTTGATATATGAAGGCTCATTGTGTTGTGCTTCAAAGGTGTTGGTGTTGATATATGAAGGCTCATTGTGTTGTGCTTCAAAGGTGTTGGTGTTGATATATGAAGGCTCATTGTGTTGTGCTTCGAAGCACAACACAATGAACCTTGTCATATATTTGGGTTCCAGCCGAATTTCAAGTAAAACTCTGTATTGAATGTATAGTGTATTGTATAAGTATTTTAATTTTTAAGTACACTAGTTAATGCATTGTTGTTAATTATACCTTAAGAAACAGCAAATACAATAAGTAATATTGATTTGTAACTATTATAACTTTCAGCATTTATTACATAATCGTAGCTGATTAATAAATGTACACTTTTGCAGTATTATGAATCATTGCTTTTTAATGATTTGATTTGCATTAATCTACAAAAAACAGTATTTATATTTTTAGAGAGTGTAACATTATTTTAACCAAGTACCTGAATCATTGCTTTTTAATGATTTGATTTGCATTAATCTACAAAAAAAACAGTATATCTTTGGATAGTGCAAAATTGTTTTAAACAAGTACCTGAATCATTGCTTTTTAATGATTTGATTTGCATTAATCTACAAAAAATAAACAGTATTTATATTTTTGGATAGTGCAATATTGTTTGAAACAAGTACCCGAATCATTGCTTTTTAAATGATTTGCATTAATCTACAAAAACCAGTATTTCTATTTCTAGAGTGTGTAACATTATTTTAACCAAGTACCTGTACTGGATAGAATAACATTCAATTGCAACTCCATCAGATTGTGCGTCCACCGTACCACGTTGAGCGGCTGGTGCTGGTGGAGCTGAAAGACAACACATCAATTGGTCTGGTCTCAATTAATGAGTGGAATGTGGCAGTGGCGGCGTTTACTCTCCAGTGTCCAGACCAGCGGACACACAGGTCGGTTACACACACACACACACACACACACACACACACACACACACACACACACACACACACACACTTTAAACTAGCTAAACACAGATGCCGAAGAAATATAAGAAAATTCACTTTCGCAAACAGAGTGGTAGACGGTTGGAACAAGTTAGGTGAGAAGGTGGTGGAGGCCAAGACCGTCAGTAGTTTCAAAGCGTTATATGACAAAGAGTGCTGGGAAGACGGGACACCACGAGCGTAGCTCTTATCCTGTAACTACACTTAGGTGATTTTACACACACACACACACACACCCACACACACACACACACACACACACACACACACACACACACACACACACACACACACACACACACACACACACACACACACACACACAAATTGCCTGTGGATTGACAGTATATTTTCTGTTTTATAAATTTTGTATTGTAAATAGGCTGAAATATTTATATTTTTTTCCAGTGTCCCTCTTTTATGGGGCTGGATCTGCTCGGGGGAATATGTCAAGAATAATTCTCCATAGTCAAAAAGTGTTATTTGATAACCCTTCTTTATGATTAAATATTAAAATGATTAATTATTAAAATTATTTAAATATTAAAAATATCACTTGCCTATTTAAAGATTTTTTTTTTTTACTCTCAATAAGCAATTATAATTATCAAAATATAAGCAATTATAATGATTAAATATTAAAAATATCACTTGCCTATTTAAAGAATTTTTTTTTACTCTCAATAAGCAGTTATAATTAAGTATATGCACCCTATATTCATTGCTGTGTAATTCATTACTGTATTTTACTGAATGACAAACACCAAATTGCTTTTTTTCTCCCTAAGAACCTGGTATGATACATTGAAGAGAGCCAAGGATCAGTACAAGGAGGCCCAACAGTCCCAAGATGTGATGGTATACGATGATATGACTTGTGTAGGTCACCTAGTTCCCCGTTCGCCTCGACCAGGGTCTTCCAGAGCATCTCGGGTCTCAAGTCTTGCGCATTCTCACTCCGGCTCTATAGATCTAAATGAATCTTCTCCAGCTACTCAGCATCACCCAAGTATTGACATGAGTGATGTGAGGGCGTCTAGTGCCTCCAGCGACGATTCTGTTGCCCAGTCTGGTCCGGAAATTCAGCGAACACGATCTCTGGAAAGTGGCGGCAGTGGTGCTATATCCCCTCGACCTGATCGCCGTCCAGGATTCCCAAAGACCCCCAATACACTGAGTGTGATACCACCCTATTCTACCGGACAGTCTCTTCCAAACCTCACTGTGGAATCTGCCAATTCTCTGCGTGTGCCTGGAACCAATGGCAGCAACCCAAAAGCTCTTTCTCCATGCACAAGAGGGGTGTCTTACCCACCTCCCTCTCCACGGACACTTCGCCGCTCGGCACCAGTGCCACAGTCCCGTAATCCTCCATTATTGAAGTCCCGCCATGTCACTTCCATGGTTGGATCTCCACAAGATGTTGATCAAGGGGAACAGGATGACGCAACAAGAGGCCAACGTCGAACGTATCGCATTGACAGAATGGATAATAGACGTTATCACACTGCAGGAGCCATTGATGATATCAAGGTATTGAATAAAATATATTGATATAACTGCACTTTTAATTATCTATACTCGTTTGTATAGTCGATTCTTGCTAAGCATTTTACAGGCTTTATCTCAAGTTACTAAAAAAATCCTGTATGGAAGATTTCTTTTGAATATGTGCAAACAGTATTGGTGAAAGATTGTTGTAAGATCATTGATATGGTTGATGGTGAATAGCAAAGAACCTAAAGAGTTGATTCATTACACCGAAAAAATTGTTTTCTGTGAAATGAGTGTATAATGTATGTGTGAACATTGTGTACATGATAGTAGTAGTAATAGGCATTCATCAGTCTCAGGAGACTATGGAGTTGCACAACCCGTTCTCGCAGTTTTGTATAGTCAATATTGACTTATTAAATACGTGCATATGTGACATACTAAACATAATAGTTTACCTTGAAAAGCTGCATGGAAAACACCGACCTTACCTAACCTTCTTAGTATGTTAAGATAAGCATCTTATTGCTTCGTAATTACAATTATTACTTAACATATTATAGGTATAGGTTAAGTAATAATTGTACTTATTATTACTTAATTGTACTTATTGTACTTAACCTATTATAGGTATAGGTTAATTAATAATTGTAATTACGAAGCAATAAGATGCTTATCTTAACATAATAAGAAGGTAAGGTAAGGTCGGTGTTTTCTATGAAGCTTTTCAAGGTAAACTATTATGTTTAGTATGTCACATATACACGTATTTAATAAGTCAATATTGACTAAGAAAGTGCGAGAACGGGTTGAGTTGCACTCTGGGTGTAGGTCTGGAGTGGCCTCTCCAGGGCACAAAGTCAGGGTAGGTTGATACAGGGGGGAGGAGAAGCTGTTACCCATGCAACAGGTCCCCCCATCTCCACAGCGCCAAAAGTCTCCAATGGAAAGGCAAACCCCAATACGATTGGTTCCAGCGCTGTCACAGGAACTGTCAGAACGAGGTTGAAAGCAACAACGAACTACCCCTAGTGGCTCCAGCTCTGAAGTTCACCTCGAAGTTGGTAAAAGAAGGCACAGGGACCCTAAACCCGGAGACCGCTGTGGTCGGGGCCGGGGAAGAACCACCCCAGCCTCCTGAAGCAGAGGTTTGGCCACACAAGCCCAAGGTGGAGGACATCAGTGTCCCGCATCTACGGGTACCAGACAGGGATCGTCACAACCCCCTTTCACCCGAGGCCCGCTTCCTTTGTAACCCAGCAGAAGAGTAATAATTATTAATTATACCATTATTATAATAATACAATAATTGTTGTAAGTATTTACACACATAGTATGTGTATATAATGTGTGTACGGTATTTAGTGTGTGTCTGTATAGTATGAATGTGCATTGTTTGTGTGTGTGTATTGTATGTATGTATATAGTATGTGTGTGTGTGTGTATATAGTATGTGTGCCATTCACCTAGACTGTATTGGTCTCGAACTGTGGACCCCACACATGTGAGGCCGACACTATCAACTCTGCTATGAGCAGTCTTATAAAGAAATGTTTCCAGTTTTATCCGCAAAGTTTCTTTTTAAGACTGCTCATAGCCATGGCTGATAGTGTCGGCCTCTCACACGGGTGGGACCCTCGGTTCGAGACCCGTCCAATCCAGGTAAATGGAATGTTTATTACCACGGAAGTGTGGATGGCAATTTATATTGTGTATGTGTATATATAGTGTGTGTGTGTACTCACCTAGTTGTGTGTGTGTGTGTATATAGAAAAAGGCTCAAATTAGCCTATGTTGTTAATGAATTTTTCAGTTATTTTTTTCCATTTTTTCCACTTTGTGAACGATCTGTTAGGTTTTAAAATAATAAACTATATATGCGGTCTTACTTTAAATGTCCCATTATAGTAGCTATTAAAAGCTTGATATTTCCTTAAAAAAAGGGGGGAGGGCAAGAAAGCAGAATTTAGTTATAAAACTTTACATAAAGGTATTTTAAATTCAACTAATAATTGAGTATATTTAATTTACGTATAAGTAGCAAAAATAGCATTATAAAAGCTCAAATATATAACATTTTGATGGTGCTCCTTTGCCTTCAGTTCATGTTATGATCAATAAAAAATATATTCCAAAGCATTGAATAACAAAAATATTCCTTTTCATGCAGAAACAAGATGCTAAAGATGCGACTATCCACAAGCGTTTGTCCTGGAACTATGGACAAGGTCCTCAGCCCTCTAGAGAACTTGGAAATGATCAAGGTAAACTTGGCCGTCATAAACATGCTGTCAAGAACATTTCTTGCGAGTCTGTTCACAGTTCTTCAGGCGTCTCATCCACGTCATCTTTACATCGTTCTATGGGATCTGAGGTTGAAGCCCTTGAAAATATAGATGATAATGAACTTGAAGGTATAATATTTAGAATTATTAGCAATCAGTTTATGTATATTACTCTTATGGTACAGTATATATAAAATAAAAATACATTTTAAGTGTGTAAATAAGACTTTTCAATGCATAAATACCATAAAAAATCAAAATAAAAGGGGGCTGGTTTCTTGTTTCTTTGCCAATAATGAACTTGAAGGTATAATATTTAGAATTATTAGCAATCAGTTTATGTATATTACTCTGATGGTACAGTATATATAAAATAAAAATACATTTTAAGTGTGTAAATAAGACTTTAAAATGCATAAATAAAAGCCATAAAAAAATAAAAATAAAAGGGGGGGTTGATTTCTTGTTGCTTTGCCAATAATATTGTCACATGTAACCTAATCCAAATTTTTGACTTGACAGATGGTGAGGCTACTGTAGTGGACCTAACAGTGAGTGACTGTACCAGCCTAAAAATATCACCCCATATATCTACTACATACATCTGCCATGACTCTGATATCACCCTCGGTGTGTGCTCGCAGTACATAACTCAACCCAATTGTTCTCCTGAGGTAACCCACTCTATTTAATACAGTTTTTCCCATAAAATTGACTGTTGTAAACTATTTTATGATGATAAATTTGAAAGAACTTTGATGTTTTAAAAAGTATATTTTAATGTAAAGATTTTTTTTCTAACTAAAACAAAAATTCATGTAGCCATTGAAGCAAAGGTTCATGTAGCATTGAACAAGATTGTTCAATGTGTTCAGCAAATTAACAGGTTATTGTTCAATGTGTTCAGTGTGTGCTGCGTTGGTCAAGCGCTCGCGTCACACCACCAGAATCTACTCACCCTTTCCACTAGGAAGGTTCTCCTGGCAAAGTGGGTGACAATATGAGAGTACATTTTTATATTTATCCCAAACTATACAAGCTAAGATTGTAATGTTCAGGCTGCAATGTTTGTAAATAAATGTTGACCAGACCACACACTAGAAGGTGAAGGGACGACGACGTTTTATTCTCAGTCGACTTGAGAATGGTCCAGGACGGACCGAGTTTTTTTTTAACTTCAGATTGCTGTCTTTTTGCGACTGGAATTAGTTGATATGCATACTATATATATAGTACAATATGATAAACAGTCTTGCCAAATACACAAGAAAATGCTCATTGAATCTCTATATGAGTGAAGGGACGACGACGACGGTTCATTCTCAATCGACTTGAGAATGGTTCAGGACGGATCGAAACGTCGTCGTCCCTTCACCTTCTAGTGTGTGGTCTGGTCAACATACTTTTGCCGCGTTATTGTGACTCATCGCCTGCATTTGTAAATAAATTTCCTTTTGATATGGTAAGAGGATAACAATTGTTATGCTTTTAAACTATATGAAAGCCATTTTTAAGCTTGAGAATGAAGCGAATGTCATTTAATTACAGCCATTACAAAAAAGTGCAGTCCACTATTAATGTGCATGGCTTGTGATAACGATTATTTTATTTACCGCTTGATATAGTTGATATCTGATGAACTCTTATTCCCTGTTATCTTGTATTTATTCTAATATACCATACGGCCACCAGTTTTGCTGCCCATGTTGGAGGATAGAAACACTATGGATTGTAAATCAAGATCGTCCACTCCAATACTCCCATTCCCCTAATTTCCTCCAAGATTTTCTATCATAGTTTACTATATTCAGTGTCCGTGCCTTCATGGTTTCAGTCATTTGACTGTTCCATACACTTATCACTTTCTAGAAGTAATAAAAGCAAAAGTTTAATTAATAATAATTTAAAGCGCTTCTTCGCGGCAGGGGATCGTATTCCAGGGACCTGCCCGAAACGCTACGCGTACTAGTGGCTGTACAAGAATGTAACAACTCTTGTATATATCTCTAAAAAAAAAAAGGAGCTTTCTCATCCATTGCATAATAAACCTATTGAATTGCTAATCTGCCAGAGCTCAGAGTACCCTGCTAAGGCCATTTGAGATGTTGGCACGCGTGCAAATTCAGGTAGAAACAGTGCAACCCCAATTATCCATACTGATGTTGACCAGACCACACACTAGAAGGTGAAGGGACGACGACGTTTCGGTCCGTCCTGGACCATTCTCAAGTCGATTGAGAATGCTTTACTTTACGATTGAGAATGCTTTATTTTACGATTGAGAATGCATACTTTAGCCACGTTATTATGACTCTTCGCCTCCATACTGATCAATATCTCTGGGTGTCTGAAGAACTGAGACTCAAAATACAGTACATTGCTGAAATGCAGTCTTTAAAACACAGGTGCAGTGAATACCTGTAATAATTTTTAATGGTAATGCACCAATGTTAGCAACTAAATTAATATTTTTTTAGCCTTCCAGGTTAAGCTGGATGAAATTTAGTATACTGGAAGAAAGCTGGTATCTTGAAGTAGAGGACCATAATTTTTCCTTTCCTGTTAACCTGAGAATTTGTTAAATTGGAACCAGAAAATCATAGCAAATTTTACTTAGCACAAACTTCCCTGCAGTTTTCGAAAAATCCCAGAAAATCATAGCAAATTTTAAGAAACTTTATGAAAGGGCACTTTTCCGGAAATGTTTTGAAGTGACTGAAGCCTTGTTAACCTGAGAATTTGATAAATTGGAACCATCTGGATAATTTGTGGTCACACTCCATTACACTCCTGCCTGAACAGAACACAATACAAAAGGAAACTTGGCTGCCATAGATGTTTCGGCTTCCAGTGGGAAATATCTATTGGCATACTTTCTACCATAATATTTTTTTTTAACTTCAGACTGCTCTGTCTTTTTACGACTGGAATTAGTTGATATGCGTACTGTATATAGTACAGTACAATAAACAGTCTTGCTAAATACACAAGAAAATGCTCATTGAATCTCTATATGAGTGAAGATCTGTAAAATAATAAAGCAAAAGAATTTAATACGTGTTAGATAGTTAGTTATTGGGTATATCTGTTGTGACCAATTTATTTTTTATGAAAAGTTAGAAACTTTGTGATTGCCTAAGTAATTACTATAAGTGTAGTTACAAGATGAGAGGTACGCTTGTGGTGTCCCATCTTCTTATAACTCTATCGTATGATGCTTTGAAATTACTGATTATATAGGCATCTACTACCCTACGGTCTCACCATAGCCCGTGTTACTTGGAACATTTTGTTCCAGGTAGCGAATCTTTAACAACAAACAACATCTACCATCACCTCACTTGTTCCAGCTGTCTAACACTGCAAAGGAGAACTTCCTAATATTGTTCAGAATTTTAGAGGTCTCCATGAGATCAGCCCTGTCATATCTAGTTTGCAGTGTCATTTGCTCTATGGCTCTCAACTGTTCTTGGTTTGAGAGTTGACTTAATCCTGGAATGATTTTGTCCCCCCAGTGTTGAATCCAAAGCATGACGTAATGAAAACGAGGCCTCCATGCTAGGGCACAACAATCCAAGTGGGCCACACCAGAGATCCACAGTTTCACATCCACCTTTTCCTTGAAGTCGAAGGTTTATTTGACTATTTCTTAAGTTTTGTTGGACTTTCTTTACTGCAGCTCCCACTTGTACAACTTTTACTGATTGATGGTTTGTTTTTAATAAACATTGATGCATTCTGACTCCAAGGTACTTTTCTTCATCAGTCTTCTACAATATAATGTTGTTGCTTTGGTAATTGTGATGTGCATTATGCTCCACATGCAGAGGTCTTGCATTTATTGATATTAAAAAGCATTTGTTAGTCTTCCGACCACTTGTGGAGTTCAATTAGAACTTTTTGTAAAGCCTTGGTATCATTTTCACGTCCTACTTTAACACAGATCTTAGTGTCATCTTTAAAATTTGATGATGTGGTTTGTAATACTTTCATCTATGTCATTGATGTATATGACAAAAAAAAAGGGTTGATCCCAAAATGGTCCCTTGTGGTACACCACTCATCATCTCTCTCCATTCAGATTCATTTCCATTTTAGACAAGCCTTTGATTTCTTTGTTTTAACCATTGTCTTAGCCATTAGAGTAACAAGTGACCAATGGAACTTCTAACATTCCATGTGCTTGTAATTTGCTTGCTAGAAAGCAGGGATTAAGTGCAAACATCCCATCTTGAGGTTATCTTGAGATGATTTCGGGGCTTTTTAGTGTCCCCGCGGCCCGGTCCTCGACCAGGCCTCCACCCCCAGGAAGCAGCCCGTGACAGCTGACTAACACCCAGGCACCTATTTTACTGCTAGGTAACAGGGGCATAGGGTGAAAGAAACTCTGCCCATTGTTTCTCGCCGGCGCCTGGGATCGAACCCAGGACCACAGGATCACACAAGTCCAGCGTGCTGTCCGCTCGGCCGACCGGCTCCCATGCAGGGATGCAGAAACCATTGATAAGCATAGACTGGTTGCCAACTGGTTGTATGATGTAGATGCTTAGAGTTATGATGTTGATTCTTTCTGATGTTGATTCTTTCTGATGTTGATTCTTTCTGATGTTGATTCTTTCTGATGTTGATTCTTTCTGATGTTGATTCTTTCTGATGTTGATTCTTTCTGATGTTACTTAGTGTTACAAGTCTCTTAAATGGATATTTAAGTTTAAAATCCACAATTTCAAGTTTTCTTAATAGGCTTCTTTTTCTGGATGTGGAATGAATTGATGAGAATGGAACAAGATATCATCAATTAAGAAAGTGGTTTATAATGGACTATAAATATAGTACATAATGATAAAAGCACTAAGTGGTTTGTAAATTAGTTACTAGGGAATTTAACAACATTTAAATTATAAAATAGAGTACATTGTATTAAAAAAAAACTGGTAATTTAGGAATTTAATATATATATCTATTAATAAAGCAAACTGGAATTAAGTAAAAGATTAGCAATATGGGTAAGGAATAATCAAAGAATGAATGAACATTATTAGTTTGCTTAAAATATAGAACCACTGGTATAAAAGCCTACTCCAACCTAGCAGGAAGTAACTGACCAAGCAACACGCGCGCGCGCGCGCGCACACACACACACACACACACACACACACACACACACACACACACACACACACACACACACACACACACACACACACACACACACACACTCGCACACAGTAACAGAACGAGGGGACATGGATGGAAGCTTGAAACTCAGATGAGTCACAGAGATGTTAGGAAGTTTTCTTTTAGCGTGAGAGTAGTGGGAAAATGGAATGCACTTCAGGAACAGGTTGTGGAAGCAAATACTATTCATAATTTTAAAACCAGGTATGATAGGGAAATGGGACAGGAGTCATTGCTGTAAACAACCTATGCTCGAAAGGCGGGATCCAAGAGTCAATGCTCGATCCTGCAGACACAACTAGGTGAGTACAGCTAGGTGAGTACACACACACACACACACACACACACACACACACACACACACACACACACACTTATAGAGAGACCACACTAAGGTGGTGTGTGTGTGATTCACATGGTTATGAGCACGGCCCTATATGCTAAGCCTAGCCTCTCATAAGTAGTAAGAACAAGCGTCTTTCTCGTCAATTCCTAGAAATTTTCAATCTGTGAAATTTATTTTCTATATTACCATATTTCTTTCAGGGGTGATGCCTTCTCACTCCATGCAGTGGGAGAGAGGGTGGTGGTGGTGAGGATTTAGCTTTTTTTAGCCAGTTCATCATATTAATTAAATTATGAATTTAATTTTCAGCCTGGATGTGTAATAAAGCATAAAATTTAAAAATTAAGTCTTTTAAAAAAGATAAGCCTTATCAATACAGCAAGAATGTGTTTAGAGTAGCAGGAAAAAAAAATGTTCAAAAAATTAAGTTCCATAAATGAGTTTATTGTTTAATGTCAAAGATTTACATAAGGCAGTGAGGTAATGTATTCAAATGAACAAATCCACAAGGGCCGTGACGAGGATTCGAACCTGCGTCCGGGAGCATCCCAGACAATGCCTTAATCGACTGAGCTACGACAGGGTAAAAGGGTTGAAACCGAAGTTCTATTGAACTTACTGGATCCCGTAGCCTCTCCGAGGCACAAACCAGGGTTTTACATAACCCCCCCCCCCCCCTGCACCCGAGCTATGTCAACAGGCCGTTCTCTTTTACCCTGTCGTAGCTCAGTCGATTAAGGCAGTGTCTGGGATGCTCCCGGACGCAGGTTCGATTCCTAGTCAGGGCCCTTGTGGATTTGTTCATTTGATGCATCACGTTATTGTGATCTCTGTGTGTGGTAATGTATTCAAGAAGTATTAAATAAATCTCACAAGACGTGCACATATATATATCTGTCAAACACCAGGAGTAAAATCACTTAATTTTTTTCCCAACAGCCTCTTGAAGGTTGTGAGAATTTAGTGAAGATCGATGTGTCAGAGATAGACCCAGGAATCTCGTCAGTGCAGATTACAGTTACAGAAGGTGCTGCTGCTCCTGCTGCTACCTCTTCTTCCTCTTCAAATTTGTCCCCCACTTCTCCTTCAGAAAGCGCCCCAACGAAACCTGAAATGATGAGAGAAATCCTCCTCAATGATGCTTCAGTTGAGGCCTCGTAAGTATTACGTGTGTGTTTTATTTGATCATCCACTAATGATGGTCCACAGCCTGGACCATCCAGGCTGTTTGCCTCGCATCATGCAGGTCCGCGTTTGATCGCCGATGGTCCAAGTGGTTTTGAGTAGAGTGGCTTCATTCTATCATCTTATCCTAGTCTCTAAATCTGGGGCCAGATTCACGAAGCAGTTACGCAAACACTTACGAACCTGTACATCTTTTCTCAATTTTTGGCGGCTTTGTTTACAATTATTAAACAGTTAATGAGCTCCAAAGCACCAGGAGGCTGTTTATAACAATAACAGTTGATTGGCAAGTTTTCATGCTTGTAAACTGTTTAATAAATGTAACCAAAGCCGTCAAAGGTTGAGGAAAGATGTACACGTTCGTAAGTACTTGCGTAACTGCTTCGTGAATCCAGGCAGCTGGTATCTCCCATGTATCCAGGCTCTTTCTCCATATTATGCTGAGCGCTTGCACTACTGGTACTTTACATTTTTTAATGAATATTGAATTCCACGAGTCCGGCCCAGGAGCTGAGTGCATGGGCATATTGTCAATTTCTCTTCCAAAGTCTTCCAAGTTTGTGTTAGTATCCATTATATTATCTGCAGCTTGAATGTCATTCATAAAGAAGCTGTCTGGCTCATCAACTTTCATGTTGATGTGCTAAACATAGCCTCATACTGGCTTCTTAGAATTTCACAAATTTCTTTGTCGTCCTCTGTGTACGTACCTTCATTTGTAATTAAAGGTCCAATATTGGTGGAGGTTTTTGATTTTGCGTATGTGAAAATATTTTGTATTTTTTCTTTCTCTTGTATAGCTTTCTGTTCCAATTCCATTTCCTCAGACGCGTATGATCGCTTCAACGTTTGTTCTAGTTCTTCAATCTCCCAGTTTAGGTTTATTTTCCTTATGATAGTTGTCTGTCTAAGCATTTCCGTTATTTTTTACTTTCTCCTGTACAGTCGTCTGCGTTCTCTTTCTAGAGTGGTCCTCTTTCTGCCCCTCCTCACAGGCGCGTGCTTCAAGCAGACCTTGTAAGCTTCAGCTGTCAGTTGAGCTATTCCCTGTGTGGGAGTTTTGTCGCTTAAGACCGTCTCCCATTGAATGGTTGCAAGGTCTACATTTATTTTTTCCCAATCAATCCTCTTATTGTTGAAATTGAATTGATTGAATACCCGTTCTCGCTTGTTGGGTCTCTTAGACCTACTACCGTTATTTATGCTAGTTCGCACTTCAATGAGCTTATGGTCTGAGTATGTAGTATCTAAAATTGTAATATGTCTGATTAGTTAATCATTGTTGGTGAATAACAAGTCTAGTGTGTTTTTGTTCCTAGTCGGTTCTGTAATCTGTTGATTGAGCGAGAATTTGTCACAATCTGAAAAGTTCTCTGACTTGTGGTTGGGTATTTCCCGGGTCATTCCCTGCTATGATATTTGTGTTTGCCATTCTCCATCTTAGACTTGATGAATTAAAATCTCCAAGGAAGATAATATCTGGAGCTGGGTTCACTAGATTATCAAGGATGTTCTCTATTTTGTGCATCTGCTCTGTGAATTCCTCAAGCGTTGTATCTGGCGGTTTATATATTAGAATAATAATTAGGTTAATTTTTTCTACCTTAATTCCAAGTACCTCTACCATCTCATTAGTTGAATTTAGTAGCTCTGTGCATACCAGGTTCCTCTTTAATATACAGACATATTCCTCCATTTGGCCTAGTTTCTCTATCACATCTATATAAATTATTATTTGGAAACCAAATTTCATTATCCATGTAATCTTTCGTACGAGTTTCCGTGTATGCCCCAAATATTGATTTTGACTCAAAATATTTATGAACTTAACTTTATGAACTTTATTTCTTGATTTTGACTTTAGACCTTGTATGTTTGCATATATGAATGATTTTCCATATTGTCACAAGATGACACACTTGTCATTGTCCTCATGCCGAGTGACACACTGGTGCTGGCCTCAGTGTGGTGTTTGTCTCAGCGTGGTGCTGGCCTCAGCGTGGTGCTGGCCTCAGTGTGGTGCTGGCCTCAGCGTGGCGCTGGCCTCAGCGTGGCGCTGGCCTCAGCGTGGCGCTGGTCTCAGCGAGGTGCTGGCCTCAGTGTGGTGCTGGCCTCAGTGTGGTGCTGGCCTCAGTGTGGTGCTGGCCTCAGTGTGGTGCTGGCCTCAGTGTGGTGCTGGCCTCAGCGTGGTGCTGGCCTCAGCGTGGTGCTGGCCTCAGCGTGGTGCTGGCCTCAGCGTGGTGCTGGCCTCAGCGTGGTGCTGGCCTCAGCGAGGTGCTGGCCTCAGTGTGGTGCTGGCCTCAGTGTGGTGCTGGCCTCAGTGTGGTGCTGGCCTCAGCGTGGTGCTGGCCTCAGCGTGGTGCTGGCCTCAGCGTGGTGCTGGCCTCAGCGTGGTGCTGGCCTCAGCGTGGTGCTGGCCTCAGCGAGGCGCTGGCCTCAGCGTGGCGCTGGCCTCAGCGTGGCGCTGGCCTCAGCGTGGCGCTGGCCTCAGCGTGGTGCTGGCCTCAACAAAACTCCGCCTAGTAACACCATAGCCGCTTGTACTTGGTTCATCAGTCAACCCGTCCTCTTAAAAATAACGTCACTTTGGGCTGGTATGCGCGGCACTATGGCCAAATTTGGACGTAATTTGAAATGAAATCGACTCACGAAAGTGACGTACTGTTCCGTTTTCTGTTTGAGTCGCCCGGCTTACTCGGCCAGCTTAGAAGAGGAAACTTTTCATTAACGTTTTTCATACCGTTTTGAAACTTTATGAGAATTTCCTGCCCACCTAACCTATCAGAGGACCCTTAACTTACTGTTGTTGAAAAAAAAATCCCAAATTTATTTTAATTTTCAAATTACGTCCATATTCGGCCATACGGGCAAACGGCCAAAAGCGACGTTCTTTTTAAGAGGACAGGCTGGTCGAGGCACTGCTCGTATCTTAGCTTATGTCACTAAACCCAGAAAATGACTCATCACGTGTACTACCACCAAGTAGACTCACATCAAATGACACAGATGGTGATGGTAACTGTAGCTGGTGTTGATTCAGGGCAGTGTGGGAGGTACATACATGGGCCCTGTAGCTGAATGGACAGCGCTGGGGACTCATAATCCTAGGGTTCGATCCCCGGTGATGGCAGAAACATATGGGTAGAGTTTCTTTCACCCCTGATGCCCCCTTTTACCTAGCAGTTAATAGGTACCTGGGAGCTGTTACGGGCTGCTTCCTGTGTACTCATCTAGTTGTACTCACCTAGTTGTGTTTGCGGGGGGTTGAGCTCTGGCTCTTTGGTCCCGCCTCTCAACTGTCAATCAACTGGTGTACAGATTCCTGAGCCTATTGGGCTCTATCATATCTACACTTGAAACTGTGTATGGAGTCAGCCTCCACCACATCACTTCCTAATGCATTCCATTTGTCAACCACTCTGTGTGTGTGTGTGTGTGTGAAAAAAATAAAAGTTGATTGATTGACCCTTGAGAGGCGGGCCGAAAGACGGGAGCTCAATCCCGCAAGCTCAACTAGGTGAATGTACTGTACACTGTATACACACTCGACATCGTCCACCGCATTCTCCCAATCACTCATGTCAGACCCCTTGTGTTAGGTCTTTATCTGGACTGTAGACTAAATCAGTATCCATCATCAAACAATATGGTGCATATTTCGTCCTTTGAGAGTCATTTTGCAGCAGCGTGGCTGACCGTGGACCAAGAGCTTGTAGATGATACATCAGACATGGTTGCTGCCTTGAAACTGAGGCTCCCCATGGCCATGGGGCATGCCGGGATTTTTTTTTTTTCAAATGGCGGACGATCACTGGATTCCTTGGGCATTCATTTCATACCCGAGTCACCGCATGGCATTTTTTTAATCCTCCGCTATACCTACGAATGCCTAGAGGCGTTCTGCGCACCCCCAATCAGAGCACCTCAAGGTGCTTTGCGCAGTGCGGTGGTTAAATCAATCACTAGCACCATAATTACTTTCCTGAATGCCCTCTGAAAAGAAACTGACCATTTTCACACAGTTTTCTTTCTCCTTATATTCTAGTAAATGCATTATAAAGGGCTCTAAACATAAACTGCTTCCAACATGGTGATAATTTTGAATAAAAAAGTCCCTCCGATACACTCAAGGAGTGGGGAATTATGCGGAGTTACCTAGGTCTGTGCCTCCCATCCATCTATTGATCTCCATATATCCATTTACCTATACATCCGTCTGTGTCTATTGAACTATCGATCCATGTATCTAACCAGCTTTCCATCAATCTATCTGTATCCATCCAATTGTCCATCTATCCATCCATAAATTTCTCTCTCTGCCTCTCTCTTAACTTAAGAGACTTATTACGAAGGGTTTTTTTGAGCTATATCATTGAAGTCGCAAGAAAATCTGAATTAAATGTTATATTTAATAAATGTTATTTAATATATTTAAATATTGTATAACCAGTTTTTATATATATTGTTTTATATATACAGTTTATATATTTTTATATAATATTGTATATAACAAGTTTTCATCACCCAACAATATTTGAGGATCTTTGATCTTTGTTCTCATTTTGTTCTTTATTTACAGGGATGTATGAGAGTGGCCATGGATGTCCCCGAATGAGGGACAAAGACTTTTCGTCAAAGTCACCATGGCACCCTGATATCACCTCATGGCACCCCGATATCACCTCATGGCACCCTGATATCACCTCATGGCACCCCGATATCACCACATGGCACCAGATGTCGCCTTATCCATGTGATGTCAACCGAGTTCATTCAGAAGAGGATAGAAAGAGAATACTAGTGATTATGTATTAAATAGTATTAATTTATTGTGATAAAACACTCCTTGATTAAAGCTTATGCTTTAATCAAGAAACCAAAACTTAAAACGCTTCGAATAGCCTATCGGTGTCACTGAAGTTTCTAAACACTTCAGACTTGAACAACGAATCTGTGTATCGGTTACGAAAATAAAATTAGATGGGTTTTAGACGGAGAAACGAGAATAAACTCAACATCTCGGTAACCTATGAATCCGAGTGACGGCTGGTGATCTCTCTGGACATGGATGTGTTCGTGGCTCCAACGCAGGCCTTCCACAGTTATGGTCTATGTACACAATAGATTCCGAAGATCTTGTGATCAAACCACGTGTGCAACCCCCCTCAATAGTTTTTGTACTGTACATTCCACTCCCTTGGCAGGAAGTATTTATTTTATTTTGTAAACATTCCATGTACCTAGGTACCTTTGTATCTGCAATTGTATGTGGATTTTGTAAGATATAATTTGGTACCCTTGAGTAGATACTGATTATATATATATATGTATGTATGTATGTGTATATATATATAATGTATATATATATATGTATGTATGTATATATATATATGCATGTATATATATATATATATATATATATGCATGTATGTGTGTGTAAATCACGAAAAATAAACACGTGATTAAAAATGTGACAGTGTCAGACCACGGAGGAAAATTGAAACAGGAATTTCCTTAAGTACTTTCGTATATTAATACATCTTCAGAAGGAGTGGTTTTACAGGTCGAGTACTGGACATAAATAGGCAGGAGAGAAAGGTGGAGTGAAGTGAGGTACAAATATGAGCCGCACAAAAACTGCAGAGCTTTGAGTAGGATCATTGGAACACATTTGTCTCACTAATTTATTGTAAATATTTACTATCTTATGCTGTGATTATCCATGTGTGGGCCTGTGTGGTTATGAATGGGAGCTGCATCGGATGGGCCAATAGGCCCTCTGCAGTTTTTGTGCGGCTCATGTTTGTGTCCACTTATTGTACCTCACCTCACTCAACCATTCTCTCCTGCCTATTTATGTCCAGTACTCGACCTGTAAAACCACTCCTTCTGAAGATGTATTAATATACGAAAATACTTAAGGAAATTCCTGTTTCAATTTTCCTCCGTGGTCTGACTGTCACATTTTTAATCACGTGTTTATTTTTCGTGATTTACACACACATGTATGTGTATATATATATATATATATATATATATATATATATATATATATATATATATATATATATGTCGTACCTAGTAGCCAGAACGCACTTCTCAGCCTACTATGCAAGGCCCGATTTGCCTAATAAGCAAAGTTTTCCTGAATTAATATATTTTCTCTAATTATTTTCTTATGAAATGATAAAGCTATCCATTTCATTATGTATGAGGTCAATTTTTTTTTATTTGAGTTAAAATTAACGTAGATATATGACCGAACCTAACCAACCCTACCTAACCTAACCTATCTTTATAGGTTAGGTTAGGTAGCCGAAAAAGGTAGGTTAGGTAGTCGAAAAACAATTCATGAAAACTTGGCTTATTAGGCAAATCGGGCCTTGCATAGTAGGCTGAAAAGTGAGTTCTGGCTACTAGGTACGACATATATATATATATATATATATATATATATATATATATATATATATATATATATATATATATATATATATATATAAAAATATAATGTGTGTGTGTAAAATATTATACAGTGATAAAATATGTGTAAATCACGAAGAAATTAACACTTGATGAACAATGTGACAGTGTTTGACCAAAAAGGAATGATTAAAACAGGAAATTCCTTAATAAGTACTTTCGTATTTAATAATACATCTTCAGAAGAATGGATATTACAATTCAGTGGTGGTGGATATATATACACGCAGGAATGAGGCGGTATTAAAAAAAGAAATGTCTTTGTAAACAAACTTAAGAGCAGACTGCAGACGGCCGTCTGTAGGTTCCTCTTAAATTTGTGAAAAAAGATCTTGTTTCTTCACCGCCTCATTTCTGCCTCTATATCCACCCTCGCTGAACTGTAAGATCCGTCCTACTGTAGACGTATTATTAAATGCGAAAGTACTTCAGGAATTTCCTGTGTTAATCATGCCTTTGTGGTCTGACAGTCATATGTATAATTTATTATGAATAAATATATTTAAATATAAATAAATATGTATATTAAATATATATATTTATAAATAATTTTAATATAAAAATTATGTTTAAATTTGTATAATATATATAAATATATATATATATATATATATATATATATATATATATATATATATATATATATATATATATAGTAAAAATGTATTATAATTATTATAAATATGATAAATTAATATTTATTATATCATACTGAATATAATTATTATTATTATATAATATAAATATATAATATTATATATAATTAATATTACATATTTATATATTATATATAAATTATAATTATATATAAATATTTATAATACATTATATATATATATATATATATATATATATATATATATATATATATATATATATATATATATACAAATTTATGTATATAATTTTATATTATAAATTATATATAAATATATTTATAATATAAATACGCAAGATTATAAACATATGTATTATAAATATATATTATAAATATATAATATGTTTATAATTACAGTAATATAAATATATTATATATATATATATATATATATATATATATATATATATATATATATATATATTAATTTATAATATATAATTATAATTTTTTAGTTGTGATTTTTCTAATATTTTTATATCTTTCACAGTTTTCAAAGCTGCAACCTAGTCCTAGATGCTCTAGTTCTTGTTAATAAATAATAAATGGAAACAATGTTGACATTTTTCCAAGGTCTTTCTAGAAAATAGTGTACAGTCTATTTTATAATGTACCTCTATCTTAAATATTATGGAATAGATGCACATAGTTCCTTCATGAATATTTCTAACTGGTTATGAAACACTCGTCATGTTAATAATTAGAATGTTGGTTTATACTGGCTTGTACAGTGTCCGCTGGTTACTCACTTACACTTGTGACAAAGTATATGTGATTTGTGTGTGTGTGTGTGTGTGTGTTGTTAATATTCAGAATCTAAATTAAATCTATTGTGGTGTAAGACTTTTATCCAGTATTCCTTGGCATAGCAATAGAGCCACCTGTTAACTCTTATGCATCTCTCTTTCAAGAAGTAGCAATAAGACAATCTTGGGTAAAAAAAATGAAGAAGCTTGTGGTTTTTCTGAAGACACGCAAAGTGTTAGCGGTTTTGTCTTGTGTAAACAGGAGAAACTTGTCCTGGAGCCGTTCTTCCTGTACCTCAGTACCACTGAAAATATTTCATGCAAGTTGTTTAATATTTTTTTTTAATTTGTTGATGTGTATTAGACTAGGTATTATGAAGATTTTAGTACTGATCGAGAGTAGTAGTGTCTTCTAATATCCATAGAGTGACTCGAGTAGTACCCGGTGCACCACTGTACCGGTGCCCCACTGTACCGGTGCCCCACTGTACCGGTGCACCACTGTACCGGACACTGCGTGCAGCAGCATATCACTAAAAGCCTTTCGCAAGAGTATTGTATATACTATGACAATCTATAGCATCATCATGCAACTTGATATAATTGAATAATTTAAGATAAAATCAGAAATAAGAATATACAAGAAAAATAAGTGATTTATCAATGATAGAATGATACAAATCACAGTCACATTGTGATTAACAGAAAACCAGTATTTTTTTGCCTTCTGTGGGATCTTTTGGTGCACTTTGTAAAATATGATCACTCTGTGGCACTGTTGAGGTCTGAGAAAAGTGCATCAATATGCATTAAATGCATATTTTTTTAAACTTTGAAAAGCCATAGGTGTGTTTGCCTAACTCAATAGAGAGATCTAATCACACATATACTGCCTTGTGATGGAGTTGAGGAGTATAGATGCAACCTCTTATAACACTCAATCCTTGTATCTATACTTTACATTCCACACTATATATACTGTACCTATATAATATATATATATTGTTTTCAGACCGTGTATATAAAATTGAATTAATACATTTACAAAGGACACAGTAAAAGTTTATGTTAAACATTAGTACGTTTGTATACAAAAGTCAAAATGCCTAAATTTCTGTTTGTTCATACTGTAAACAAGATTCAAGATTTGTTCATACTGTTCACAAGATTCAAGATTTGTTCATACTGTTCACAAGCGGTTACCATAGTTATCATATTTGCATTTCCCCATATTTCAAATGGAGTGGCATTTATAGAACAGTGCTCATAAATATAGTTGGAAAAACTCAATCCATAAAATGCAGTGATGGGTCATGAGTGACGGGTCATGAGTGACGGGTCATGAGTGACGGGTCATATGAGTGACATGGCTGCCTGTGTCTTCAATTAGTCATGTGTCTTTTTCTGGGGAGACAAGAGACACTTTGACATTGACTTGCACAATTGCAGCCACTCATGACTAATTGCTAAATTTTTAAACATTCTGGTCATTTGAACCAACTTTTTCTAATAAAATGTCATACATGCAGACTCATTTGACTGTTAGAATAACTTTGGAACAATTCCTTATTAAGATCTTTAGTGACATGCATACAATAATGTTTGTGGCATTACAGTATTAGAAATACAAATTAGCCAAAGTTTTTATGGTACAGAATACCGATTTTAATTGGTGTAATTTTCATTGATATTTATTCTTAATACAGTGTTAATCAACATTGTTTAGATGCATAAACTTTGTTTCATATTAACACATTACACAGGTAAATAACACATTACAGTAATTGAGCAGTTGTCAAATGTGAACACACTGAAAATTTAAAAAGGGGGCCTATAGTTCACCAAAATATAAGTACCTACGGGCTCACCATAGCCCGTGCTACATGAAATTGATTGTTCCAAGTAGCGAATCTTTAACAACAACAACAGCAAACAGTTCACCAAAAATATGTATTTATACCTTAGATTTTTATTGCTTAAACAATATTTACTTGTACAAAGAATTGTACTATACAGGAAACTGCTCTGATGGAGCAGTTGTTAGGCGGTTAACCCGAGTTGCACATTAATAATTATATGTTACTTACTCGTTACTTTCCTATTGTTGTACAACTCTCCGAATGCAACTTTAACCTGTTGTATTGAATGACCATTTAAGTGTATGGTTTATTTATTATTTTGGTAGGTTTATTCTAGTTACACAGATAATGAATGTATACTAACTGCTTTAGGTGTTTCACATGCTGTATAGCCAATGTGTATATATTGAATTTTTGATTCCAAATACTATTTTAGTGAGGTGGAAAAGAAGTGTGTGCATAGACTTTCCTTTTTTTTTTCTTTGGAATAATTGTAGAAAATAAAAAGATTCTCTGCAATTTTATTTTTGTTACCTAGTCACTGTAGCCACAGCCACTTATTGAGGCTATGCAATGAATACACGATTCAGTGTAAACATATATATGACCATGACAGTTGTCTAC